TATTGGCATAAAGTATTAAACAGTTGCCATTAGGGTAAAACAATCCTATAAAATCTGTGGAAAATAAATAACTTCTAAAAGCATTACAAAGGTATGTCTATTTATATAAGCTTAAATTATAGCAAGATAAAATTTTGCCCAGCCGCAAAACCTTGAATTAAGTTATACAAACTCATTGAACTCAATTAGAATGATCGGGGACATTTTCCCGTTTTATAAGACCATAAAAGAACCTGGCAATTCAATAATCTCCGAATCTCGAGAAGTAAGGAGGTAGTGTAGCTTGCTTCCGTCCGGTTGGCATGCTACCTTGCTAAGGGGGACTTCCAGAAATTTCGCTCGAATGTCGTGTAGCAAATTACAACGTAAAAGTACACCTGCATGTAATACCTACTTTGCTGCCACCACCCTGAATCTTAAAGATGCTTGCTTAACACCCCAATATTCATACCATGGATGCTGTCCTCCACCCCCTCTCTCTCCACACATATCAGGACATGTTACTTAAATTCTTCTCTCTCTGGTTGCTGTATTATTCACTCCTTCAGATTTAAAAACCAAACCAGATTGTTCTTTGAGCTAAAGGTGCACTTAATTTGGCCCGACCATATACGATCGAGAGTTCAAAATACATCTCCTCTGCAGCTGAAGTGCGTTTAGAAGAAGGGGAAGAGTCAGTTTTGATACCCCACTTTTCTCTACCCTAAGGAGTCTCAAAGTGCCTTACAATTGCTTTTCCTTTCCTCTCCCCACAACAGGCACCTTGTGAGGTAGGTGGGGCTGACCGAGTTCAGAGAGAACTGTGACTGCCCCAAGGTCACCCAGCAGGCTTCATGTGGAGGAGTGGAGAATTGAACCCGGTTCTCCAGATTACAGCCTGCCGCTCTTAACTACTACACCATGTAGCCGCCCTGAGCCCGTTCGTGGGAAGGGCAGGGTATAAATGCAATGAAAATAAATAAATAAAATAAAATGTTGGCCGCAGTGTTCTTACTTCCCTAGAGCGAAGACACATCCTTTCTCCTCCTTGAGATTTCGCTTCTAGGTTCTGGACAAAAAGCTGAACAATGATAGCTCAAGCCACTACGCCAACAACATCTTAACAAGGCATCTGCAAGGGACAAAGCTAGGTCCAGTGCCTTACCAGGGACTGCTACAAGAAAACAGAAATCCCCCCAGATAAATATGGAAATTGGAGAATATGTAAAAGTCTTCTACAACTGAACACAGGCAAGCCATGCTCTAATTGTTGGAGAAGCAACACAAATTCCTGTATGTTGTTTCAAAAGAGCCTGCGCATCGAGAGAGAGAGGAAAATCTGAGATGTAATGGTTACATTTTTTACAAAAATGGTGGTGATCTGCCATGGAACAACCCCATGGAAGAAGATAACAGCGGTTACCCGGAACCAATGCTCCCTCTGAACTGTGGAGTCTTGTGAGCAAAAATTCTACTTTGCGAGCTACTGACATTAAAGTTGTGAGCCAGTGATTTGGCCACTGCATAAGTTAGTTTGCTCCGGAGCCATCCTTCCTGAGCTAAGACAAAAATGTGTGAGCCAGAGGCTAAAAAACTGTGAGCGAGCTCACACTAACTCAACTTAGAGGGAACACTGCCCAGGACTGGTGGGAAGAGGCTCGCTGTATGGCCCATTTTCAAAGGGCTCCACCCCACCACCCCATTCTCCACCATTCAAGCCTCGAGGTCCTTGCGAGGGCAGTAAAAGCCCTCTGGACCTTGTTGGCCGCTGCCCTATTGTTGCTGGTTGAGAAGGGCCCCCCATAACAGTTCAAGCTTCAGCGTCCCAAAAATGTAGGTCCATCACTGAACCCAGGAGAGGCGAGAGAGAAGGAAGAGAGCAACTTACCTTATAAAGACCACTGATGAAATGGTGATACTTCAGGCTGTGCTCAAGAGCACCTGCCGTGATCCTTGTAATCCACAACTGAAAGTAAAAAACAAAAAGGAAGACTGAGTTTCCAAGTTCTAGATTCTTTTTTTAAAAATTATTTTTTATTATTTTCTCATGACAAAGAAGAGAAGAGATTGGATTTATATCCCGCCCTTCACTACCTGAAGGAGTCTCAGACCGGCTTACAAACTCCATTCCCTTCCCTTCCCCTCCCCACAACAGACCCAACAGACCTTCCCCTCCCCTGTGAGGTAGGTGGGGCTGAGAGCGCTCTGACAGAAAGGGCTCTTTTTCAAGAACAGCTCTGATCAGAGCTACGGCTTGCCCAAGGTCATCCAGCCAGGTGCAAGTGGAGGAGTGGGGAATCAAACACGGTTCTCCCAGATTAGAGTCTGCGCACTTCACCACTACACCAAACTGGCTCTCAAAAAAAAAAGTGGGATACAGAAGGGAAGAAGGTGAGGGGGAAATATAGATTCATCAAGTTTATTAAATATTATGTATCGTTCCGTACAACAAGTGAAATCAGATGTATTACCAAATGTATTACATAATTCAAATATAGAAACAATGAATACAGCATCAATATTACAGAATTTGGGGTTCGAGTCTCTCTTTAAGGAATGAACAAAAACTCTCCTAAAATTAGCAATAGTATATTAACGATAAAAGAGAACACATCTTTAACAGCTGAATGGCCTTCTATACGAAAAACCTAAATATTGTCTTCATTATTTATCTCAATCCGAATTTTATTCTTACTGATTATTTGAGTACTAATGGAGTACAAAATAAAACACTGAAATTTTTAATCAATAGCTTCATCATCTTCAATGTGATATTCAAATAATTCCAGAACTGAAAAAGAAATAAGTTAATTATTCCCATAGTATGAGTATGGTGTATATATATAGTATGGGAATAATTAACTTTTTTATCATGCACTAGAATCTTGTAAGCGTCTTGGCGACTTTTTGGGTCCTTACCTTCCTCATGTCCCTCTTTTTCAGAGATCTGGCATTCGTAGCGTAGACCATAGCTCTGCGGACCACTCGGACGGCCAAGCCAAAGCAGCGGTTCTTCCGTCCACGGAAGTGCTGAAAGGAGAATGTAGAAGGTGAGGCCATCGTTGATGACTAACGGGTGGGGGCAGGGGTGCCAACCTCCAGGTGTGACCTGGGGATCCCCCAGAATTATAGCTCATTTCCAGACTACAGAGATCAGTTCCCCTGGAGAAAATGAAAGCTTTGGAGGGGGGACTCTGTGGCACTGTACCCCACTGAGGTCCCTGTCCTCCCCAGGCTCCATCCCCAAATCTCCAGGAGTTTCCCAACCTGGATCTAGCAACTCCCAGGTTGTCAACATCTCCTGCCGGTGGCCAGGGGGAACCTGGCCACCCTAGGTGGGCCCCACCTTCTGCCATACAGCACAGAGTCCCACCCTTCCGCTTAGCACCCCGAAAACCCTTAGAACAAGCAAACGCCTTGACAGAGTTGTAAATTTCCATTGACTCTGCTGGAAGATTAATCCACTAACAGCCCAAATCCTCGGCGCGTTTATTAAGACTCCAATCCCATCGCGTTCAACACATCACAATGAAAGTGACAGTGGCTAGGGATATGTACAGCCTATCCCCACCCACCCAGAAACTGGAAATACTGGAGCGTTTTGGAGGGGGGAAATCAGGAACATTTTAAGCATCCTTTTCCTGAATGATCAGAGAGGATACACTTATACCTGACCTTTCTGATCCGCACTCCAAAATAGGAGTATTCAGATACAGCACGGGGACCTAAGCCAAAGGTCCCCGATCTTTTTGAGCCCGTGGGGACTTTGGGAATTTTGACACAATATGGCAGGCACATCCACAAAACGGCTGCCACAGGAAGTAGAGCCAGCCACAGAATAGCTGCCATAGCTTACCTTTGAATCACAGTGAAGATACTTGTGCTCTGGTAGCAGCTGCTGCCAAAGCAATGTTTTTTTAAAAATGCACAGCCAATCAAATCTCCAATGGCCCATCAGAAACCCCGTTGGGCAAAAGCCCCTCTTGGCAGGGGCCTTCATAAGAACATATGACAAGTCCTGCTGGATCAGACCCATAGTCTAGCATCCTGCCTCACACAGTGGCCAACCAGCTCCTCTGGATGCCAAAAAACAGGGCATAGAGGTCAAGGTCTTCCCAGGATGCTGCCTCCTGGCTCTAGGATTCACAGGTTGACTGGCCTCTAAATGTGGAGGTCTCCCTCAGTCACCACGGCTAGGAACTATTGACAGACCTCTCCTCCATGAATCTACCTAATCCCCTTTTAAAGCTGTTTATTCCTGTGGCCATCACTACAACCTCTGGCAGTGAATCCCACATTTTCACCACTCTCTATGTAAAGTAGTATTTCCTTCTGTCCATCCTGAACCTACTGCCCATCAGCTTCATTGGGAGAGAAAGTTCTCCTTGTCAGCTCTCTCCACCCCATGCATGACTGTATAAACTTTTACCATGTCCCCCTTAGTTGTCCTAAACGGAAAAGTCCCAGACTTTGCATCCTATCCTCATAGGGAAGGTGCTCCAACCCCCTAACCATCTTGGTTGCCCTCCTATGTACTTTCCCCAGCTCTGCCATGTCCTTTTGGAGGAGTCTACTTACAATATGCTATACACAGCGGTCAAGACCAAAAGTCCCAACCATTTATCCAAGTTAAGTTTGTGACCCATTTTGTACAGTGCAGGCCTATTAACCTGAGCGGAAACGCCCTCTTGAATAGTTTTGCATAGTTTGTGGAAGGCGATCGGGAGCTTTCCTGACACCTCCTCGGGCAGGCCATGCCATCCCATAATACCTTCATTTTTGGGAACGGTTTTCAAAAATATCTTTTAAACCGCTGGGCGTCCCGCAGAAGGCAGAGCTGCTGTTGTTTTCCGTAGTGCTAAATATTACTTTTTAGCGTCGCGTGGAAGCCGCCTCCGGAGCACGGGGCCCGGGAGGGATGCGTCCCTCCCCCTCCCCATTAAACACGGTAGAAATCCGCTGCAATCGGCCGCGGCAGCGCCGCGTTGCAACGCCCTCTTAAAAACTATCCATGCATGATTTAAAAAAAAAGAAGAGGAAATTCTGAAATATGCACAATTTTCCTTTTAGAAAATGCGAACCCCGGTTGCAAAATGGTACCGGAGGATGGTGCAGCGCCCTTACCCGTGCATGCTGGAGCACGTCGTACTTCCTCCAGAAGCGATCGGTCTTGCGGGTTCGGATCCAAAGGGACGCCGTGAGGAACACCATCGCGGCCCGCTGCAGAGGAGACGAGAAGGACAGCCGGACGCCGCGCGCCCGCGAAGCTCCTTTTCCGGGCTGCAGTGCGCAGGCGCGGGTGAGAGGGGGCGTGCGCCGGGCGATTCTCGGATGGTAGGAGGACGAGTGGATTTACGCAGACCCGTGAGATTTTAAGAGAATCCTGTGCGTGTGTGTGTGTGTGTGGGGGGGGGGTATTTTGAGGGGCGGGGTGGGATTTAGCAGACGGTGTTCCCTCCTGTGATTCCTTACAGTCTTCTTCGTTTTGCTTTGGACAGTTCAGTATTTCAAGTTGCCAGCCTCCAGGTGGGGGCTGGAGATCTCCCGGAATGACATTGGATCGCCAGGTGATAAAGATCCGCTCCCCTGCAAACTACTCAAGAAGACTGCCTACAGTTAGAAGATAATTTCTTCCCGGTGCTGTTTCTTTGTGATGTCAGGACTTAGGAAAGCCAGTTTGGTGTAGTGGTTAGGAGCACGGACTCTAATCTGGGAGAAGCAGGTTTGATTCCCCACTCTTCCACATGCAGCTGCTGGGTGACCTTGGGTGAGCCACAGTTCTCTCAGAGCTGTTCTCTCAAGGGCAGTTCTCGAGAGAGCTCTCTCAGCCTCACCTACCTCACGGGGTGTCTGTTGTGGGGAGGGGAAGGGACAGGAGATTGTAAGCCGCTCTGAGACTCCAAGTGAAGGTCAGAGTATAAATCCAGTCTCTTCTTCTTCTTCTAAAAAGTTTATTCTTGCATTTATTGCAATGGCTTGCTGTTAAGAAGTAATTTTGCCTTCGAGAAAGTCTTGTCGAAACGGGGGAAAGCTAGCAATCCGTTAGCATTGTGAAGCTTGCGCATCAAATTGGATGACATCTTTGTTGGTAAGGTTTGTGCCTGTGTAGGAAGTTGGTTTGAGCCTGGTGCTACAGTCTATAAATGTCAACATACCGCGCTTCAGGAAGGAATCTGTAAAGGATATGACCCCATTCATGAGGTTGGACTGACCTAATGATCCCGTACATGAAATTGGATTGAGCTACTTGTTGGATTTTGGTGAATCTCGAAAACTTACCTGTTGAACTTCGGGACCCAATCCACACTGAATGTTATTTTAGATTAATGCTGCCATATATGAGGTTGCATTGAAATATTTGTTGGACTTGGTCAGTTTACCTGTTAAATTTTGAGAACCAGTTCATTTTTCTATTAGTTCGCTTTAAGAACTTCATCTAGTACATGATGGTCAAGAAACAGTATATTAGTATAATTAGTTGGAAAAAATAGCTGATTAAATATATATTTGTTTTTTAATCATTTGTAGTGATTTCCACAGATTTTTCTCGGTATCTGCTAAACTGCAGGCCAGAAGGTCTGTAGTTTGGCAGTTCAAGACCTGAGTGCCACGTGGTGGAGTGAGCTCTCGTCTCTGGCCCCAGGTCCTGCCAACTTAGCAGTTTGAAAGCACTGTATACTTGGTGCTTGGGGGGAGGAGGCAACAGTGGGAGGGCTTCTAGTGTCCTAGCCCCACTGCTGGACCTCCTGATGGCACCTGGTATTTTTGGCCACTGTGTGACAGAGTGTTGGACTAGATGGGCCATTGGCCTGATCCAACATTGGCTTCTCTTATGTTCTTATGTTCCCCTTTCCGACTGGGCCCTGTTTCTGTTAAGACCTACGTCTCAATGTATGCGCCTGCCCACGGAAGGTAACATTTCATGCACAGATAAAGTGGGCTGTAGTCCATGAAAGCTTCACCCACAATAATGTATTAGAGAATCCCCCCCCCCCCCGGCAATACACAGTTTATTATTTTAAGGTGCCTGAAAAAACTCCTTAGTGGTTTTCTCTGTACAGTTTATTCTCAAGATGAGCAAGTGATAATTAGACCCAGGGATCACACTGCAGCATCTTTGTTTGCGGTAAATGCCTATCCTATTATGGAATTGCCTTACCGTCTGCCTGTGTCTCCATTCCCCCCCCCCACCTTTCTGTTCAATTAGTTCAAGTAGGTCACCTAATTGTGAATAATTGAATCCCACAATGTGGTCCAGTTATCTAGGGCTACAGCATAGCCACATGCTTGCTCACTCATGCCAAGGGTGAATTTCCTTTGTTTATATATAACTAGAAATAAGGCCCGTTGTGGAAATAAATACAATGGGATCTAGAAAGAGGCTCTGGGAGAGTGCTCTGGCTTTGGGCAAACAGTGTTAGTCTGCTTTTAAAACATGAATCTGGGACCTGCACACCACCAGAATACAGCAGATTCCATATGCAACTGACATTCCAACTGCCTTGCGGGGGGAGGGAGTTTGAGGTGTGGAATGGAGTGAAGTCCAGTCAGCTTCCATATGCAAAAGACCAGGTTGTCGCAGCAGTTGTGGTGTGGGCGGGACCCGGGCTTTGCCTTCTGATTGGTGGCATATTATGCTGAGGAGCAGTGCCAGCAGCCATACACTAAGGGAGTGCATTTTAGAATTAGATCTTTGGCACCCACTATTCAATTATTTATATAATAATTGGCAGGACTCTCCTGGCACCAATACATCAAAAATGTCCCTTCCTAGGAGTGCAGACTCCGTGCCTTTCCTGAACTTCTCTGCCGCTGCCCTTCCCTTTCTTCTGTACTCCATTTTCACTTTGCTCTTATCTATTAACCACGCCTGTGTTTGATTTCCCCAACCCAGCCTCCAGGGAATTCAAGGCATGCATGGCTGTCCCCCTGCCATCCTCACAACCACCCTGCGAGGTAGGTGAGGCCGAGAGAGAAGGTCTGGCTCACGATCAGAGCTTCGTGGCTAAATGTGGATTTGAACGTTCTCTATGTTTATAGAGAGCCAGTTTGGTGTGGTGGTTAAGTGCGTGGACTCTAATCTGGGAGAACCGGGTTTGATTCCCCACTCCTCCACTTGCAGCTGCTGGATGACCTTGGGCAAGTCATAGTTCTCCCAGAGCTGTTCTCTCAAGGACAGTTATGGAAAGCTCTCTCAGCCCCACCTACCTCACAGGGTGTCTGTTGTGGGGAGGGGAAGGGAAAGGAGATTGTGAGCTGCTCTAAGGCTCCGAGTGAAGGGCGGGGTATAAATCCAATCTCCTCCTCCTCCTTCTCCTCCCCGCTCTGAGCCTGCTGTGCAGGGAGAATGGGATAGAAAGTGAATGAATGAATGAATGAACGAATGAATAATCTTCGCATATAATTCATAATATAAACTAAAGGTAAAGGTTTCCCTTGCTCGAAAGCCAGTTGAATCCAACTCTAGGGGGCGGTGCTCATCTCCGTTTGGAAGCCAAAGAGCCAGCACTGTCCGGGGATGTTTCCGTGGTCACGTGGCCAGCATGACTAAACATCGAGGCGCACGAAACGCTGTCACCTTCCCACCGAAGCGGTACCTATTTATCCACTTGCAGTTTCTTGCTTTCGAACCACTAGGTTGGCAGGAGCTGGGGCCAGAGACGAGAGCTCACTCTGTCACACAGCACTCGGGTCTCAAACTGCTGAGCCACCGAACTTCCGGTCTGCAGCTCAACGTCTTCACCTCTGAGCCACCCTTAATTCATAATACGGTTGGATGGAAACGTACCTATATACAACAACACTGTGTTGGTGTTATTATAACGGAATAGTTAGACATTGCAAAACTATAAACACATTTAAAATACGGTCCATCAACACTGGATCGGACGAGCCGGGGGGCAGAGTCAGGAGGTAGTGCGGGGCACGGATACGAGAAAACTAGGGGGGCCCAAGGATGGCTTGGCCGGAGATGTCTCCTGAACCAGGCCTCTCAGCTTCCAGCGCTTTGGCTGTCTCCTTCCACCACGATCTGCGTGTGCGGTCCGCTCCCTTGCTCACTAAAAGGTCCATCAAAGAGTAGTGTCCTTTTTCCGCCGCAAGGTGCAGCGGCGTCTTGCCCAGCCAGCCAGCTGCGTTGACGTCGGCTCCGTGGTCTAGGAGGCAGCTGGTGATGCCGACGTGACCGCTACTGGCCGCTCGGTGCAGCGGGGTCAGATGCAGATCGTCCCTTCCATTAATTCCGGTGGCGCCTCCCTCTACCAAGAGGCAGACAATGGGCAGGTGTCCTGCGGTCGCGGCTTTGTGGAGCGCGGAGCAGCCGTAGCGGTCGGTCACGTTCACGTCTGCCCCAGCTTGGAGGAGTAATTTCACAATCTAAAGAGAGAGCGAGAGGGGTTCAGGAAGACCAGCTGCCCATTCAGCATCTGCGTGTTCAAACTGGCCCTGCGGCTGGGATCTGTCTGTACAGCTCACACGTGTCCTGTGTCTAGAGTGGGAAACTACGGATTGGGAAACTCCTGGAGATTTGGGGGGGTGGAGCTGGGGAAGGGAGGAACCTCACCAGGGTATATGCTATAGAGTAGAGTAGGGGTGTCAAATAGGTGCCCCACGGGCCAGAACCGGCCCGTCCAGAGCTCTTATCCGGCCTGCGAGCATCTGGTCATTACCTCTACTGCCAGATGACAGAGGCTGTGCATTATGTCCCTATTTACTGTCCCAGCGCTAATCTGTAACGGGTGGCAGAAGTGGGAGGGTGGGCATCAGGGAGATACTGCGAGGAAATACTGTAAAAGTGTTAATGTTTTAAGCATGTTTGTATTTTGAGTAAAAAATAATATTTTTGTGGGGTTTTGAGTGTGTGTGTGCATGTGCTTGTATGCCCGGAAGTCATGGTGTCTTCTGGTGACCTGTGGTGGGATTTGGACATTTCAGAGAGGTGATTTGATATTGCCTGCCCCTGCCTCCCGGCCTTGGTATTCCTTGGAGGTCTCCCTTCCAATTACTTGCCAGGGTCGACCCTGCTTAGCTTCTGAAATCTGATGAGATCGGGCTTGCCCCGGGATACCCTGGTCAGGGCAAAAATAATATTATTCATTGGGTTTGCCTGAGTCCTTTATAGAGAAGAAGAAGAGATTATACCCCGTTCTTCACTTGGAGTCTCAGAGTGGCTTATAAACTCCTTTCCCTTCCCCTCCCCACAACAGACGCCTTGTGAGGTAGGTGGGGCTGAGAGAGCTCTTTCCAGAACTGCCCTTGAGAGAACAGCTCTGAGAGAACTATGGCTTGCCCAAGGTCACCCAGCAGCTGCAAGTGGAGGACTGGGGAATCAAACCTGGTTCTCCCAGATTAGAGTCCACGCACTCAACCACTACGCCAAACTGGTTTATAACGTTTATATCTCTGGTACCGGGCATCACATTTCACGGCACACATGGCCCAGCCGAACAAAGGGATATTTATGTCAGACCTGGCCCTTGTAACAAATGAGCTCGACACCTCTGCGTAGAGTCTATCCTCCAAAGCACCCATTTTCTCCAGGGGGAACTAGTCTGGAGATCCATTGTAACTCCTGGCGATTTCCAGGCCCCACCTGGAGGCTGGCGACCCTACCAGTGTCAGTGGACCTGAAGCTATCACTCTGCTCAGGCCCTGGTTCTCCCAGGGCAATAGCTAGCCTGTCTTCCCTTGCTGCTGTGGCTCAAGTGGTTAAGACGCTGAACTGCAGGCTGTGGAAGGTCAGTAGTTCAGCAGTTCGAGACCCGGGTGCCGCATGATGGAGTGAGCTCCCATCTCTAGTTCCAGCTCCTGCTAACCTAGCAATTCGAAAGCAAGAAATTGCAAGTAGATAAATAGGTACCACTTCGGTGGGAAGGTAACAGTGTTCCGTGCGCCTTGGTGTTTAGTCATGCCGGCCACATGACCACAGAAATATCTTCGGACAGCGCTGGCTCTTCGGCTTTGAAACGGAGATGAGCACTGCAACCCTAGAGTCGGATTCGACTGGCTTTCGAGCAAGGGAACCTTTACCTTTACCTTCCCTTGCAGAAAAGGTAGAAACAGCTGTCTTGGAATCCATCCTGGCCGGCATCCGCGTATGTCACAGGGCTCTTTTTGTAGCAGGAACTCCTTTGCCTATTAGGCGACACACCCGTAATGTAGCCAATCCTCCAAGAGCTTACAGTAGCCTATGTAAGAAGAGCTCTGTAAGCTCTTGGAGGATTGGCTACATTAGGGGTGTGTCGCCTAATATAGCCACCAGGGCCCAGAGCTTCCAGTAGACCCTGCTGTTGCTCATGTTCCCTGAACACTCCATTGCTGGCGCTCCCCCACTCATGCTCCCTGCTGCGAGCACTGCCCAGCGCCACTGGAGAAAGGGCTGTAGGCAATGCCCCCTCTAAGCTGTGGCGTCTTGTGAGCAAAAATTCTACTTTGTGAGCTACCGGCATTAAAGCTGTGAGCGAGTGATTTGGCTACTGCGTTAGTTTGCTCTGGAGCCCTCCTTCCCGAGCGGAGACCAAAATGTGTGAGCCAGAGGCTAAAAAAAAAAACTGTGAGCCAGCTCACACTAACTCAGCTTAGAGGGAACCCTGGCTGCAGGCGGCTGTGAGCACGGGCAGCGGGAGGGTGTGTGAGCAGAGGAT